TATATACGATCAGAGTTCAACGGTCACTGACCTTCATCGTCGCGCCGGTCACCTGACAGCCATATATGGCGCTCATTGTCTGTGTAACAAAATTCTAAACGCACAAAGCTCTCATTTGCGAATCGTTGAACCTGCAAGGCAATGCCTTGTATACAATAACGCTGCGAATAGTATTGCGCAGGATCGATGCATCTGCCTCGAATAGATGTTACACTCGATAATTTACGCATGTTTATCCTTTGTACGTGTATAGAATACGTGAGATTGTATCATCATTTTTTTTATTAGTGAACATCGTTTGAAGATAAACATAATTCATATAACATATAATTAAAACATATAATTAAGCATATTTCTTGTAAAAGAAAATTTAATAGGAATTTAACAACATTTTACCAACATCATTTTACCAACAAAATAATTAAAATTAAAGATAAAAATTGTAATAAATTATAATATTATATGGTAAATTATAAATTATAATATTATAAATTATAATATTACAAATTATAATATTAACAGCTACTGTAGATAAAAAAATAAAAAAGAATAAGGAAATTGTGTAAGATTTATAAATTTTTATAAGTTAAAAAAATACTATAATATATTAAGTAATATCAAGATATTGTATATAATGTATATAACATATAATAGTCAATGAATTTTATTGAATCTTTTTTTTAATTGTAATGTTGTCATCATTCACGTCGATCAAAAATAGTAAAAATCAATTTTTATTAACATAAAAAGTATTTTTGGCTTCTGATTTTACATACAAATTTTAATTCTAGAATTCTGCGTCGCGAGGCAATCTTGATTTTCAACTAAAATATATTAAATAATCTCGTGGAGCTTAACTTTTGCCACATTTGAATAAATTTGAATTGCACGGATCGAAAACACTGCGAAAGATAACACTGATTTCATCCTTTTCTGTTAAAGAAACATGATCATACAAGGATCCTTGACCTTCTTCCTGACATTTTGTTAACCGAGATTTTGCGTCGAGATCATCAAAAGACACGCAAACTGTATCGATCGTCCACGCTTTTCGTCTGCATGTGCAAAAGTGCCGCACAATTGTGTTCACGATGCATCATGTTTTTTTAAGTACTATTCAAACTCTCGTTTTCTAATATCATCGAAATTGCGATTCTTGAAATGTTATAAATTCTTCTAATTTTCCTTTATTATTATACGTATTGAAACACAAACAATGAAGTCTATCATATATTGATATATATGAAATAAAATTATAAATTTTTACCTCATTATTTTCAATACTATTTAATCTTTTGTTTTTTAAATTAATCATCGAAATTCGTTTTTCCTATTCGTTTTTGAAAAATTCCTCTAATTTCCTTTTATATTTACATATCAAAATAAAGATACACATATAATGATACATATACTATATATATAAAGCAAAATTAAATTTATTACATATTTATATAACATGTGAAATTAAGAAAAAAGACCACGCGAGAAACATCTCTCGATTCTTTTGAATTTCTTCAGGGTTTTTATGTACATATTATGTATGATATATTTATTAATAAATCTCCGGAGAAAGTATTCAAGCAACATTTAAAGAAATATTGAAATGCGAGAAGAGGAGAAAGATGAACGCGAAAGAGGTCACGACTGTATACGGACGAGTGACGTGCGCCGGCGCAGCTTTGGTTCCTCGCGTGCTGCTCTTATAAAAATACACGGAATGCAGACAAAAAATATAAACACGCGATGTATAGCTCGATGTGAACGACGCATTTGACCCACTAGATGCAAAACCCGAAACGTCGTCTTAAGATAAAATTAAAACGCGCATCAATTCGCGGCACTTGTCACATATATCATGAAGTTGGTTGTTATTAACAACGTACCAAAATTGAACGAAAATAGAATTTTCCGAGGCGCATCCGCGTCTCTAATTTAGCCCTGGTATCAAAAACCTCGCGTGACGCGACAAAAGTTGACACGCTTGATTAAATCTGAGCAGAAAAACAAGGACAACAGATTGTTTTGGATTCGGCACTTACTTACTTGGCGGGAACGTGTCCTAGCTGGTTGGACGAAGTGGAGTCATCGCTGTCGACGTTGTCCACGTTCGTCTCGTCCACAGAGGGATGCGCCGCGGCATGGCTCCCCAGGTCGTCACCGGTCCTCTCCGGATTCGCGACGAGGCTGTACATAGGACGAACGTATCACTCACAAGGACGCGACGCCCCGTTCATCGGTGGTCGACATCGCCGCTGACAGCGCGCGACAACGACACGCGATACGGTCGACACTCTCGCACGTTTACGCGATTCGCATCGCGCGACGATGACACGGAAACGCTCCGCTTTGTTACCCCACGTTCGCGTTACGCTTCCGTCCACTCCGAATTCCGACGCAATCGCGCGCACACGCACACTCAGCGCCATCCGACCAGCGACTGATGCGCATTACGAGTTGTGCAAGATGGCGGGTCGCGATGCTGTCGCCATCTAGCGGTGAGCGCGGTACTATGTCGGTCTACGCCGCCGTCGTAGATAAAATCGCCTGAAAAAATGAAAAGATAAACAGAACTAACAATATGAGGAGACAAAGAACATGACAAAAAGAAATCAAGCGTTAAAATTAATCTAAAGCGATCATATTTTAAGAAAAATACAAAGTTGTGGCTTTCATTAAAAATTTATCAATTGAAAAAATGTGTAGATAGAATATATAATAATTGTTAAAAACTGGAAAAACATTCAAATATTTTTTTAAGATCTTTTATTTATTATCTTTATTTATTATCTTTTATTTATTTATCTTTTATATTTTTTTTATATCGTACGTCTAATGTAATGCGTGTCTACTATAAAGTTTTGAAAGATTGTTATTGTATATTATGTTGTTATAAAAAAAATGACTAACATAATATTTTATGGAATAATCAATATCTACTGATACTCGTTCATTCAAGTTGACATAATCTTGATGGAAAGAAATGATCTTACATGTAGTGAGATGCACTGTATATTCAATATTATATATGTATATAAAGTGACATAATAAATTTTTTATTTTAATTTCAAATAAAGATTCTCTCATTAATTACAAATTGAACCAAAACAATATAAGATATCATTAATTTTTTGAACTATTTTTCACGTATATTTGCTTGCTCGAATTTAAATAAATATCATTTTTTAGATTTTAATTCAAAATCTAATTATTTAATATTATATATCAATATATTACATCAAATAAAAAAATTAATCTTGTTTTAAAAAATACTCTACAGAACTATTGTATAAAAATGATGCTGCAAACCTTCTAAATCTTTCTGTTATCTGTAGAGAGAGAGTACTGTGTTGCTGAAGAAAATATTCGTCATTCTAGTTGGAGCTGCGCCAATAAACTGATTTTTAAATTAGTCTGCTGCTGACCTTGACTTTCATGCAATAGCACCGACAGATGAAACGAAGAAAGCTGACGCATGCACCTGCCTCCGATGGCAGTATTCAAAATCGAAGATAATAGTACAATCGACAAGATGCAGTTGTATTAAGTGAAATAAATAACTTTTAAAATAATTTTTAAAAGTTAAAATATTACAGATTATTTAAACGATGTTAATAAGCCAAGAATCGAGTTTGACTATTTTAAAAAAATCATAATTACATATAAAAGATAGTAAAAAAAAATGTAAATCACATTACCAACTATCATATATCTTACTTTCCTACTGATTAGTTATATATAGTTATATATAATTTTATTAACTTTACAATAAAGGTGATATTATAATATATTACATAATTTATATTTTCAGTTGTTGAAATTCAATTGTTTCAATTGCTTTTATAAAAGCACAGAATACAATTAACAATTGAAAATATAAATTATTCTATATAAATCATTGGTATATGCATAGTCCACATAATGCTTCTATATATATAATTATTATTCTTTTGTCACGCTATTTTTTTATTTGAAATGTGTTTTCTATACATATATCTTCTATACATATATCTTAGAAAGCTTTGTAAAATATTCACACGCTTAAACGCAGAAATAAGTGTTTGTATATGTGTATATAATATTTCTAATACATATTTTCCTACTCTTTATTTGTCACATTAAAATATATATAAATGAGTTGCATTATTTCTACGATTAAGCTTCGTTTTTGCAGATAATGCCGTTGCGCTTTATAACAATTAAATTAATTCATGATTATTATTGCGCACGCAGGATATCGACATACGTGACACGTTTAATAAACGCCGGCTACTATTAGAAACAGGCACAAGTTTATCGAGGTAGGCATTTACGTTACATTTGTTTTGTATATTGATCGCAGTAAGGGCAACACAACCAAGTGAATTAGTGATATTGTTTGTCTATATATAATATATATATATATATATATATATATATATATATGTATATATATAAAAGCTTCATTTCCACTCTTAAATAATTTTTTTATTGAATGTGGAAAAGTGCCCACTTTTCTTCTTATTTATTAAAAAATTCTCTTAACATAATAAAAGAATTCTTTTACACTATAAAAAAATTAATAAAAATATTTTATATACATATACGTAATACATATATGTAATTTTTGTTTTGAGAATATTTAAGTATGCGCTTATTTAAAGCTGTTCATCTCTTTTTAATTACAGTATTAATATAATGTAGTAATTATTATTATTAGAGAGACATTTTCCTTACATTGATTGCATGTAATTTCCACACAATATAAATATTTTTTATAAATATTGACTTATTTTGAAACTGAATTTTCTTTGTATGTTGATAAATTAAATCGGCGAATAAAATTAAATTTTTAATATAATAATAACAATGTATATACTTAAAAAACTTCACTTGTTCTTTTAAAACCAACTTTGTGTATCAAGACATGTTTTAATTATTATAGTAGAATAGAATATTTTAATATTTAATATTAATATTTAATATATTATTGTTTAGTATATAGAATACTTTAAAAATTTGTTTCAAGAGATTTATAAATAATATTCTGCTACGTACTGATACAAGTTCTCATAAAACAATTCAACAGTCTTAATAAGGCACTTTTAAAGCACTCGATATTATTTTTCCTTCTTCGGATCTATTTTTTTGCCTTCTTTTTCACTTTTCTCTTCGCTTTTCTCTTTAATATCTTTCTTAGAGTTTTCCTCTTCTTCCTCCTCCTCATCTAAAAACTTAGAATCTAATTCATGCTTCTTCAATTCCTCGTCCAGTAAAGCGTCCCAATCGGACATATCTTTGCCTTCGCGAACTCTTTGCAGCTCTTTCTTAAGCATATCCAGACATTCCCGTCGTTCTTTCCATTTCTCCGACATTTCGAGGCTTTTCTTCTCATCGTCAATTTGATCCAACATTTCCGCCTTTTCCTTCTCTTCGCATTCTAATACATACTTCTCATAGCTGTCCACCTGAAAGAATGTGCCATTACTTTAAAATAATCAATATAAATTTTTGATGAAACCTTTTTTAAAGATTTTTTTAATTAACTGGCTCTTTTTCAAAGACAAGACAGAAAATCAAATAAACTTTAAATAATTTGTGAATATTCATTGGTAAGAAAGATAAAAATAACTAAAATCAGATTAATAAATATTCAAGTTTACCTTATCTTGCAACATTCTTTGAACGTCATTTTGCCTTTTTAAATGTTTTGGCAGCCAAAAGCAGGCCTGAATAAGACGCAGGAATATCCAAACCGCTCCAGCAAGCGCCAAATAAGAGCAAGCGGTAAACACCATGTTCGTCATGTCTACAGTTACTTGTTGATGCTTCATAATGATAATTTCAAATATCGATTCAAATATGTCTGTAATAAACATAATATAATGAGTAGAAATAATCAAAGAGAAAAATAGTTTCTAAATCAATATAAATTTACTTTTATTTAAAAATGCTTTGACTAATATATGTGAATAACAATCTGGATCATATATATAGAAAATAAGATAAGTGTGTAATTTCATATACGAAAGTAAATCTTTCGAAGGTGCTGTACTATTATTTATCGAAATAAAGATAGATCGTTTTTGTTTTCTCGATATAAATAAAAATATTTCTCGATATAAATAATGTATTATTTATTCGAAATTTGAAAAATGTTTTCATTTTATTATAGGCATATTTCCATATTTATTTTATATTATTTTATTGAGAAAATTTGTTTGATTTTTATTCGTTTTTTTATACAACTCAATAACTCAAACTTTCAACTCAATAATTAACTTTCTTATAAAACGTATCATTGATTCACCGGTCAAATAACGCGTGTAATATTTTTTTCTTATACCTATCGTTCACTCTAGCATTGCATAAGTATACCATTCACGAGACAGTGCACTACGTTGCAGTTCGACTCGCAAACGATTACACGTGGTGATAGGTGACCTACTGCGAATCTTGTCGTGTGCTTTAAACACCAAGAAGGGTTGAAACGCGTATCCCTCGCGGTGAAATGTTCGACGTATCTGGGTTGATTTGCTTCGATAGCGTCGAGAAACAATTCCGCGACGGAAACGAAGTATTTTCGCGGTGACGATAAATAAAATGTGACATTTCGTGAACAGTAAGCAGATATATCGCAACACGACATCCACTTATCGGTGCCTTCGACGCGAACAACTGGTATATCGATTATGTTCGTTCCGTGAAACAGAATATAATATGCATTGCGAAAAAACTTAAAATTTCTTTGACTCTTATTGCATATAATATTAAATATTGAAAGAGAAGTATGAAGATAAATTTACGTATTCGAGTATCTTTATTAAATTTCTAGTCGAAAAAATTATGTACTGTGATTTATGTGGTTTTCGTTGCATTAAATTATGCGTGTATTCACGTCAATACATTTATTTTATTTTATTTTACTTTACTCACCATAACGATAACAAATTCGATGTTTAATAATTACAGATGAATGTGTCTCGGACACACGTTGTATTCAGAAATTATATGCACATAAAAATGAAAACTTATTAAAAAATTCAAAACGAAGAATAATATGTGTGAGAAAATGCTTGGAAGTGTAACATTTTACTATTATTGAAATAATTAGAGATAGAATAAATTTTCTATGTGAAAGATTTGTTTAGTAATAGGATCGTTTTAAATAGTAATAGATAAAATAATATATAGGTCACACATTCATATAAAATTTCTCACATTTGTGATATCATAAAATGTATGCAGAATATTAACGTACTAGATTAAGCAATCACTTTTTTAATTACAAAGTATGTGTAATATAAATTATTATTAATATAGATTTTAAAATAAAAAAAATAAAAAAAGCAATTTATCGATAAAAGTTACTGGTACTATATAATTTTTCAGACTCAATAAAGATATAATGTTATGTATATAAAATACAATCTTTCATTCATTTTTAGTTTGTATTGTAAATGTTTAATTATAAATATAATGCTTAATTACAAATAAATGCTTAGTTATAAAATTAAATTTTCATATACGAAAATATATTTTTTAATCAAATATTTCAATTATTTTATTCACACTTACCCTTTGCTTTATTCGAAGAGTGTCGATGAGAACATAGCCGTGTCAGAACGTGTTCAATCTAAGAGATACGAACTACTGAATGTATCACGTCCGGAAGTAGTAGCAACTACTATATGTCCGACTGACAGGTGGAACGCTACTCCACTACTGACCCCCTATAGAAATAATCGATATATGGATGTAGCCACGTATGATTGAGCTGACAATATACAAATATTTCAGTATATGTACACACGACATTCCGAACGTGTGTGCGCATATTCGGTGAAGACAAATCCCGCCTATTATTTGTCTAACGAACGAATTAATTTCTCCAAGAATTCATATGTAGTGATATATAATATATGTATATATATATAATAAAATATATATAAACTTAATTTTTTCCTATCGATAGCTTCTTTCTAAATTAATATTTAGTATAATTTGTATTTGAAATGTTACGCGATTTTTTTAAATTTAGGCTCGAAGTTAAAAACTAAATTGTACTGCTATTTTTATCACGTAATCGATTAATATCCAAAAGGACTCAAGGGGAATGATGGATAATCGCAATAAACGATGTTCTAAAATATTCAAGCTACATTGTAATGACGTTTATCGTGCGCAATGGGTCGGGTTAGGTATCTCCATCTTGCGATATGGCCTGAAGTCAAGTATAAGTGTGTGTCAAGAATACATAATTTTTTATTATTTTACAATTAACTCAATAATAAAACGTTCCACGTCCCAACTAAGGCTAAAATAGTCTACACGCGGACACTCGCTTCGTGATTCGTTATGTTGACGATATTTCATTACATGTATACATATTGATTTTTTGTGTACCGTCCGATGAAATCTAACGTAATATGTTTGGCGGACAATTTTATCCCCTACGAAATTATACACGTTCGCGCATCTAAAGCGCGTTGATGCGGAATGTATACAGGAATAAGAATTCAGGTCTGGAATGTGCGATACATCACAGCACACGGTCAGAGAAGGCAAGGGTAAAGGGAGGAAAAGGGTAACAACGTGGAAAGAACGAGGCCCAATTTGTCGTATTGCTCGCTGCTGCTTTGCTGGAAATTCCAAATGGAGACATTTTGATACACCCGATGCGGGGGAAGACAAAGTACGCCAGCTTATGTCGTCGACCTTACGTAAAACAGGAGATAGGGAGTGGCGGAATTTCGCGGATTGGGTGCTAGTTTATCCTCGAGCTCTCGCAGCGGTATCACGTGTACTACCTCGTCATCACATTCCAGCCATGTAACACCTTGCTTGTTGCGCTTGATACCGCAGCAGTCCATGCTGCGGCATCCGATTCTATTCATCAATTGCTCCTTGTTTTCGTTCGCACTGGGTTTACTCCTGAAGTATTTAAATATACCCGATGCCTTGTCAGAAGAAGAAGAGGAGGACGACGACGATGAATTTGCACTGGTAACGCTGCTCCGGCCCGAGTTTTGCCGCTTGTTATCACGATCGCAGTGGAAATATTCCGAGTACGCAGACTCATCTGGCAGACGTGCGTAAGCAACGTAATGGCCGGCAGTTATCGTTGCACCCTGGTGCATTATGACCGAGTACAATTTGTACACGTGCCGCGTCTCTGTTCCACCACTAGTAGTTGTTCCGCGGCTTTGATCAGTGCTGCACTCCTCGCAAAAGCATTGCAAGGTAAGCGGCGTTGGCATGTGGTTGTTGATCTTTTCCATTGAACTGCACACGTATATTTCAATATTGCGATGCGGGATATCGAAGAAAATTTGTCATCAACATAGTATAAATGTAAGGCGTTAAAAATCTAATTATATCTTTAAAATAAGTTAGCGTTTCTCTATTTTAAATTTTAAAAAATTGTAATTTTTATAATTACATTCAAATAAATTTCAAGAATATACAAACAATTCCCATATTTTTAATAAAGCTTTAATTATAATTTCACGATATTAATTATATGAGACAGTTAATATATTTCTATGTAATCTTTTTCTTTTAAGTTTGATTATTCATTCTTTTAAGTTTGATTATTCAAATTCAAAAAATTAACAAAACTTACCCAGCAGCAGTAGAAAATCTCTTCAACTGCAAAATGAGAAGTCTCGGTAACGAGGGAAAACATACAGCTCTACGAGCCTCATTATATCGTAGGCAACGTGCGCACCAATATTTCTCTGTACCCCAAAGCAATTCGCTAGTTACTACGGCGCGTTTGTACACTTCACTGCTGTCTACCGATCGACCATCGTCATCTGCGAAGAAGAATATAAAAATATATATCGCATTATTTTTATAAACAGATCTCAAATTCATTAAATCGATTAAATACGCACCTTTCTCATTTGAACGATCAATGTCGATGGGTACGCATATGTCACAGAACGTTTCCTTGCGTTCTGTCACATGTTCACATTCGAGACACGTTGTGCGCAATAGACTGACTCCCTCAAAATCCTCCGAGATAAAGCACTTTTTGCTTTCTGGTTTGCGCGTCCCTATCTCGCCGTTACTCTCGGCGAATTCAGCGTGACCATTTTCATATGGTCTTGCGGATGTCGCGATACCATTCGCGTTTGACCGCACGAGATATACTGAACTTCCCCTATTTGGAAACTTCTTCTTTTCTTCTTTTTTGTTTTGTTTTTGTTTTTCTTCTTTCTTGTTTTTACGAGTACTCCTCTTTCCGGAACCGCTACTCTCCGATTGCACATCAGTTGTTGAGTGATCAGTAGTGAAATCGGGAAAGCCACCATTACTCTGACCAAATTGACTTTCTCTGTGTCTGACCAATAGTTGGAAAGTCTCTCTGATGTTATCAAGTAAGCAGACCAAAAGCTCGTGAGCGTCCTGCTGTTGATTTCCTTCGAATATCGGATTTACCTCTCTAAGAGCTTGTAAAAAGGCATCCGGTTGGTATGGTTCACTATTTTCTCTTGCTTCTGATGCTCGCAATGCCATGAAGAGTTCGTGCAACTTTTCGGTGGCTATTTGAATATGCGGTTTATTGACTTCTACTGTTGGCCCAGCCAAAGCCAATAAATCCTTACTGCTCCAACTACGACTACTGCTCGATGTTAATGACACACCAGTTCTACCTAATGAGGAGGATTTGGCCTGCAAAAAAAACATTAAAGCTTGAAATTTTAGTACATATTGTTCCATTTTAATATCCAGCAATTTGAAAATATAACGAAAAATTTACAAAATAAATCTCATAGATATCATCTAATAAAAAATCCCCAAGGCAAAAAAAAAAATTTTTTTACAATTGACAATGCTGAACAAATGTTTTATATTATATGTTCAAGTAATATTTTCTTCATAAAAATTATAATTATCATACTAAAATTATCATATTAGAATTTATGTGATTTATTAGTGATATATTATATAAAAAATATTTCTAAAAAATATTGCAAATATGCTGTAAATAATAATAAATATGTGAATAATTATAAATAAGCATCCATTGAGGCAACATAAGATATACATATATTAACTGAAACATAGATTTTTATGCAACAAAAACCTTAATCCATGTTTCAGTTGATATTTAACAATAATTCTTTCTTTATATGCAATCTATTTGTCTAGTACTTACTTTTGTTTGAAGTTGTTTATCATTTAGATTAGACAAATCAGTAGCTAAATGATGTAAATTATGCAGAAAGGAAGGCGCAAATCGCAAAGTATATAATACACTATTAAGGAAACAAGTATTTCCTAAATTACACAAGGTGGCTATCCTAAATCCTTCTGTACTACCACTGGACATATCGTAACTTCCATCCTGGTGATTGCTCAGCTGGTTTCGGTAGCCATTCAACATTTTACTTGTACCTTCGCAGATAGAATCATTGCGAATTAAAATATATCATTGTTTTATTGAAATTATATATCTAGTCAATGCAATGTGTAATAAAGCGTTATTTAAAAAAATATGCATACTGAGTGAATAGTTTGATGTATCCAGAAGGCCCCCTCTTGTTGTAGATGTATGAGGGGGCTGCGAGATAATGATGGTCGCACGTCCAACAGGACGTCTTGAGAGGGAGAGGCAGAACTTCTTTCTGGGAGGAACCGAACGTTTATCTGCGTCTTCCTCCGTTTCTAATACTGTCATCTTCTGTCAACCTAAAATATCGACATTATCAACTGTGTGATACAACAACAGATTGACAGATTGATAGACGGGCGGGAGACGTGCGCCAGATTTCCCTACGTCCAACTCATACATTCGCGTACGTTGGGAATCCTTGTTTATATAAATTTTGTTCGCGCGTCTCTCCGAAACTCGTTTCACTCAACCGTGTCAAACTGTGTCGCGGAATAAAATGCTGAATATCATATACATTTACTCACGTATGATTGAGTAGGGAAGTCATGGAACGAATGCGAGCTCCTTTGATATGATGTTATCAAATCAAACTAGGTTCTACGTTAAAAAGCCACGAGAGAGCTTGCTCGACTCGTTGCAAGCTACATTTCTACCAGCTTTCCATTTGACAGATCGCTCTTGGATGCCGCTTGCTCCGATTGACTCGCTCACTTACCCCCAACTCCGACACAACCCAGAATCGAGGAACTCTCAAGGAAACATACATATCGCGATCGAGATTGCAACTTGCAATGTGTCTATCAGCGCTTCTAGTAGACACAGACACAACCATTTAAAATCCCATATCCATAGCCAATCAGCGTGTCCGATAAATTCGTACAGGACGCGTCAGATTCGTTTCGTTTCCCTAGCGAGTTTACCAACTAGACATCATGTGGTCGATGTACGCGCATATATATGTACCATGGACTAAGAATATATAGATGTAGCGTTGCCTGTCGACGTTCCGATTGATCACAGCCAATTATATCGATCTGTGGCTAGGGTAACCAGCAATGATTAACCAATCAGAAAGTCCTATTTTGAATTGGCCAATTGGCGACGTGATCAATCGGATCCCATCCGCTGCCGACATGAACAAAGAGAATCTTAACTTCTGAAATTTCGAAGGCGAGAATTTATGAAATTATCCTTTGTGAAAAGCTCTGTTTATAGATTTTCCGAATTATAATGTACAAGAAAAATAGTAAGAATAATAGATTTGTTTTTCATTCCTGAACTTTCTGCACTAATGTACACAAAAAGTGCATCAAGAATACAAACAAAACCTAGTCGGAGCGCAGGCGCGGGAAAAATTCCATCTGGAAGCTCGTCTCCCGGCCAATTGGGCATCGGAAAACTCTTAGTTTCCGTCTTCGCCGCTGACGTCCGAGTAGCTTCCGGCACGATCCGGCGAATCGGCACGTCCATCTGAGTCTCGACGACGCTTCCGTATGTTGCTGGTCCCTCTGCGTGCTGCATTTGCTGACATAGTGCCGCTACGATCACTACACAACGGGAGAGAGTAAGAGTAATTCGCACACATATACGATATACATACGACGCTGCGAACTGTTTTTATAATTGATATCGCGACCGTGGGCTCTGTGTTCTCGGAGTTTGCTCGCGCGAGGCGTTCCACCCCAGCAAAGCTCGTTTACCGCGCTCGTTCGTCGGCTTCCCGCGCGACAAAAGCAGCCGCTGCCGGCCGCGTCGAGGTGCCAGAGCCGCGTCTTCGTCCTGCAAACGCGAGAGCGCTTCAAATCAAGGTAAAGACACCCCAACATTCCCGTTACAACCGCCGTCGTCGCTCCTGTCCCTCGACGAGAGCTATCCTATCGTTCGCTCTCGTGGCTTCGCGCACGATCATCCCGAGAAGCACCCACCAGAGCACGTTGTCGAATCGTGACTTCTGCTTGGACGTGACGCGACCCGCTACCCGGAGGAATCCCCGGCCTGTCGTCGGCGGATCCCCCGGGGCTTCGGACTCGTTCGTTCGCGTTGGCGTGTCGCGGCCCTTTATTGGGAAACATCGCCATGCTTGCGCGAGCGACCGGGCGCGACCGCGCACTCTCGCATCCACGAGATGGAAGCGAAGAGCGACGCGATCCCGTTCGCGTGCTCTTCCTCCCAACGCGTGCTCCTTCCCAGCCTTCTTTGTCTCGTCCCTCATCCGCGTCGCGGACGCGAGCTGCGAAAAGCGAATTTTCTAGAGAGGAATCCTCGAGGGGGGAAGAACGGAAAGAGAGAGAGACACGTGCTACGGGATATGTACATTAGTTGCAGCGTGGTTGGGATTGTTGAGTAGATAGATAGAGAGAGAGAGAGATGGAGAAACGGAGGTCTCTTTCGGAGGGTGGGAGAGGAGAGGAGAGATGGCATGCGAAAATTTTGCCATGCGCTACGCGCGTAGCCAGTCCCTTTGTGTATCGCACCGATTATTTGTCTGCTGCGTGATAAAACGGATTTTGGATAAGCTCTTGCGTATGTGCGCGCGCGCGCGTGGGCGCGCGGCGATTCGGATGGCCTGAGGATATCCGTGGATTACGTAGAGAGATATACCTGCGTACATCTTCTCCGATTCCGAGATTCCGATTATATGGGTTTACTCTGCTTAAAAATTTTATCATTACAATGCATATTTACTATATAATGGCATGAGCAGTTTAATGTCGATCTGTAATTTAAAATCTATTTCACATCGTATCAGTAATGAAATATTAATGAGCAAGATATTTAAATAATGAATAATATATATGAGTCTCACATATTTATGTATTATAAATAATATATTTCTATTGTTTCAAGAAAAATGCTAAAATGATTGAAACTGATACATTCTTGCTTTTTTGTATGTATCTATAATATTTATTTATACTGCAAAGTTTGTGTATGTAACTGCGTGTATGATTAATAATAATGCTGGAGAAATTTTATATCAATATTTTATTCTTCAAAATTTGTACGTGTAAGTTGAGATGATTTTTTAATGTTAAATGTTCTAATAAAAACAGTATATGACGGGAAAAATTACATTCAGATATTATAGCTTGTTCAACTTTATATTGTAATTTGTATTGTATAATTCATAATAATAAAAGCAATTTTTAATGTATATTAATAAAGGTTTTGTGAATTTTATCCTATTAGGATATTATATTGCTATATAAGGAATCTCTTTGTGCTATATTAAAAAATATAAATTCTATCGACATGTTGAATTCATAATACTAGTGATTATAAAAAATTTTTGATAGTATATTAACTTACGATGTGTGCTTTTTTTGTTTCAGATATCTGCCTTAATAATTTTAAGATTTTACAACATTTAATTTGCTGTTTCCAGCAAAATATCGCTTTAAAAGTAAGAAAGTAAGAAAATGGTCATGGAGGCATCTCCTTCTCCACAGAGTGTAGGTCGTGAGTTTGTGCGACAATATTACACTTTGCTGAATCAAGCTCCTGCCCATCTTCATAGGTATTTGAATTATCAATAATTTTTTCCCAGTTTTATCATATTTCTTATCACAATCAGACATAACGTTTGAATTTAATAAATATTTTAAATGGATACATCACAATTTTTATAAATTTTTTAATTAGGTTCTACAATCAACATTCTTCCTTTGTACACGGAGGATTGGATTCCAATCGAGAGTGTATTCCGGCCATTGGTCAGAAACAGATACACCAAAAAATTCAACAACTGAACTTTCGTGATTGTCATGCCAAAATAAGTCAAGTTGATTCTCAACTTACTCTGGAAAATGGAGTTGTTGTCCAGGTAAACTCTTTGTATTAACTTTTTATAAGTTAAGTTAAGTTAAGTTAATGATAGAAAAGAATTATATAGTTATATATTTTATTATATATTTTTATTATATTATATTTTTATTATATATTTTATTTCTCTTATTAAAAGATAAAATGTTTAAATACGTAAAATGTATTGAATGCATTTTTATTATCATTAAAGTTTTTGTATTATATTCTGTATAGTTTCTGTCTTATATTCTGTATAGTATTCTGTATTATAAATGTAATAATTTATTTCAATTTACTTAAAATAACATTCTCTTGCAAGATAAAATATTTAGGATTAATGTGATTATTACTATATTTTTACCTCATTATGTAGGTATCTGGAGAACTGTCCAACGCCGGTCAACCAATGCGTCGGTTCACGCAAACTTTCGTATTGGCGGTACAGGCACCTAAAACTTACTATGTGCACAACGATATCTTCCGCTACCAAGACTTGATATTCCCCGAGGAGGATGAGGCTGACGTGAGCGGCGGGGACGGCGGCGAAAGCGGCGAGAGAGAGGTTGAGGAAATTGGTCGATCCGAACCTGAGGAAGATGAACACCAGACTCAGGCGCAACAGTTGTCGGCTCCCACTCAAGCAGCCGAGCAACAAGCTCAACCGCCTCTTATTCCGGCGCAGCAGCCTCCTCTTCAACAACAACAACCAATGTATTACGCTGCACCTCCACAGCCACATGTTAGTAAAAATATTATTAACACAAAAACTGTTTGAAAATGCAATAAACATTCTGTACAATACATAACAATTATTGAAAGGAAAAGATAAAAACAAAATCTAGGAATTTTACATTGTTGAAGACAGAATAGTTTGAATAAATTGAATTTGCACATTGCTATAATTTCTACAGTTTACCATAGGTTATAATATAGTTCTATTTGCAAACATCCATTGGTCAGGTTCATCCGGTATTGCAGCAAGTTCTGAATGGTACGGTGCATGAAGAGGTGATCAATCAACAGCCACCACAGCAGCAACAACCGCCGCCACCTCCAGCCCAGCAGCATCCGTATATAACTGAACCAACCACACAGTCTCAGTTTGTGCAGGAGACAGAGTTAAGCAATGGTGAGCAACCACAACAACAGCAACAACAAGTTGAAAGTGAACCGCAGACTCCTCAAACGGAGGAAAGGAATGACCAGCCTGAAACAGAAGCGTTTACTGCATCCGCGCAAGAGACCGAACCCGAGCATCAGGTTTCGAATACTACTGTCAACAATAACGGACCCAAGACATATGCTAATTTAGTAAAGTCTTTCCCAAGTACTACCAGTGCTACTAGCCCCCAAGCTCCTAAATTGTCCATGTCTCCGGTAAGTATCATTTCGATGTGAAATCACAATTTTTAAAAAGATGATGAATAATAAATCTTTCTTTATAGCCACCTATGACGAATTTACGTTTGGATGACAGATCGCCATTGCATCCTGCAAACAACGTACCGACTTCTATATCTGTTTCCAACAATGTATCCGCGGTTCAACAACAGGCGCATCGAGTGGGCGGAAATCAACCGCCACCACAGCAACAACATCCCCAGCAACAACGTGGTTTGAGAGGAGGATTAGTACAAAGAGGTAAAAAGAAATGCGAAATAAATATTGAAGTGAAAAAATGATTTTTAAAAAATATAATTTTGTTTTAATAGTATGGAAATGGGATTATTATACATACACATATTTATTTTTGCTCTCTAAAAGTGAATCATTGTAATCACTGTAATCAGTGATGTACTTATAACTGTTTGTAATCAGTGAGTATTTAATATTTTTCAGTGATAATACACTGATTCACGTTAGTGAAAGTAGTATATATACACTGATTCACGCTAGTGAAAGTGGTATATATACTACTTTCACTAGCGTGAATCAGTGAATCATTAACATTGAAAAACAGTAAATACTCACTGATTACAAGCAGTTATAAGTACAACACTGATTACAGTGATAATACACTGATTCACTTTTAGAGAGTATATTAATTACTTAATTTGCATTTTTTTTTTTTTTTGAGAGGTACAATTTTTGTTTTATGTTGTGTATAATATTTTTTTTTAGATGGAGAACGTCGTGGCACAAGACCAGGGCAATATAGTGATGCTCATCAACTTTTCTTGGGCAACTTACCACACAATGCTTCCGAGAATGACTTGCGCCAAGTATTTGAGCGTTATGGTAGAGTCGCTGAATTGCGCGTGCACAGTAAATCAAATGACAGATGCAAAGGTCCTCAAGGAGGAAATAACACTGCACGTGTGCCTAATTATGGATTTATCACGTTCGAAGATCAACAAGTTGTGACAAAGGTGTTGAATTCTCTGGTACGTTTCTTAGACAGATATCAGATACTTCTTCGATAACCGTTTAATAAATATGGAATTCCTTCTAATCTTATCATGCGATTGTTGTTTTAGCCTATCTATTATCCCGACGAGAGCGGACAAAAGTTGAATGTGGAGGAAAAGAAGGTGAGGCCTAGAATGATGGATGGAAGTGGTGGAAGATTGAACTCCGGCGATGGCGGTATGCGATCCATGGGTGGCCAGCAACAACAGCAACAACAACAACAACGTGGCCCAGGTAAACTCTAGATTAATTTTCCAATTTATTGAGATTAGTAGAATTTTTAACTTACTAATTCATTATTAATTTAATATCAGGCGGACCCGGAGGCGTAATGAGAGGCGGACAACACGGTGCGCGAGGTGGTCGTGGAGGGTTTTCACGAGGCGATGGCAGTAGGGGCGGCGGTGGCATGCGGCAACCGGGTAATCCAAGCAATCCCGGTTACCAAAACCGTCGCTAATACCGGCCACAGTACACAACAACCGTAACAATCTCCTAATTTCCTCTCTATTGAGTAAAAGTCACACCAGTACCATCATGCATCTGCCATCTTCATTTCGAGAAATGGAATCCAAGACTTTCGTATGCCGCATGACCTTATTACCGGCGCCACCCTCATACGCTTAAATGTCGCTTGCAACAATGTTCGACAAGCAACAACAACAGCCGATAGATGACATAGCTCAAAAAAGGAGTCATACGAAACACGATCTCGAACATCAGAAGACACGACTTCGTCGAATCTCGGACGAGGATTATGTTCCGTTTGCGCGAGACCTCGAGCTCAGTGGTATGTGTTGTAAGTTTAAAAGAGCCGACGATCATCGGTTCGAGTTCGTCCTTCGTACATCGACAATCGGGCAATCCCGCAGGACTTTGCGATGCCAAGTATACAAATGGAACGCAAACGTAGACACGTGCAGCCGTGCGACAAGTCCAAAAGGAAATTAACGGAGAACGTTTTCGGAGTGTGGAAAATTTAAATAAACTGAAAGGGGCGACGGGACGTGATTTGAAATCGGGAAATTGTGTCGGAACTCTTTTTTGTGAAGTTTTAGAATAATGCGTGGCATTTGTCTTGGCGCGTTTTCTTCTACTCACCGAATTGCAAGACGAAACGGCAGCAAAACAAAGTTCGCTACACTCAATACGAAGCGAACGAGATTGCATCGGAAAAAATAGCAACGAAGTGTCGTTATGACGTAGTCTTGTGTATTTTCTCTGAGTTGACTCGACAACCGTCGATGAAACCGTCCCGTTGCCGCAGGCGAAGGGTCTGTAGATAACGCAGAAAGAATTCCGTTATACGAAAATTCCAACTATACAAAATCCTAAAATTGTATCCCGGTTGCACGCAGTAAAAAAAGGAAAAGGAAAAGTTTAATTTTTTTTTTCCTACGTTCTTTTTTCTATTCTTGTTGCCGATCATCGATCGACCGGTATCGATCGCAAAGAGGACGATGCTTCTAGACTGCAGCAGCTGGTCTCGCCGTTTTCTCGCAATGACCTCGTCTTGTTGCAGTCCAGAACTTTTTATTCGCGCCTACCTTTTTCCTGGTTTTTCCTTTCTCTTCTTTCCGGCTTCTAGAAACAATTACTTCTCTCAATATCTTCTACTACGACTCTGTCCTCTTTTATAGAATCTTTCTATTCTAGCATCTACCTCCCCTTCCTTCACATATATACTTATTATTATTATTTTTTTTTGTTTAGGTAAAATTAGTAAGAATCGCGTACGAGCATGATCTGACGTTGTATCGCTAAGTTTTCGGTCGCGAGATGTTTTGGCCAGAATTAAGTTTTCTAATTTATCGTAGAATTGATAATGAGCATTAAACGAGCATAAAATAATGAGCATAAAACTGTAATCAACAAAAACAAACTATATAGTTTACGCACAGTAATTTTTTCTTAATTCAGTCATTTATTAAAGTTCTTTGCAAGTTTGTAATCAATAATAATTAGAATATATTACATTTCGAGAAAAATGCTGTTTGTATAACTGTGTATGTATTTGTTTAATTGAATTATGGGATTTTTGTTTAATTACATTGCAATTTTTATAAGAATGCTCTATCGTATTCTGAATTTTGAGAGAAACAAAAGATACATAAAATATTGAATCTAACTTTTTATGTAAAATCAGGAATTCTACATAAAAATTAGTACATATTTAATCTTTGTATAAAATCAGCAGATTCTGTGCTGCTTTTACAAAAATTGTGATTATTATTAAAAAAAAAAAGTTATATAATTCAATGAAATAAATACATATACAATTGTATGAGCAGCAGCTTTCTCAGAAATGACATGTTATAACTTTTCTTTAGGTGTAATGTAATCTTTATATTTATCTATATATTTATATTTTTAATTTATATTTCTCAATATGTTCATATACTCTAAATTATTTAGAATATGAAGCAAAAATGAGAATTCTAGTCAGCAATAGTTTACGAGCAACATGCGAAAACAATTCTGCGATTATTAGTGACTGGACAATATGTTTTCTGGCCTCATCACTATCACTATACTGTCCTGCAATTTTTAAAGTGTCTAAAATATCGAGCAATCGGAATCTTGAAAAAATCAAAGTCATATAGCGATGCAATAATATATGTAAAAGATCGACGCGTCGAAAGACGAGGAATAAAGCAGCGTTGCAATCAATAAGTAAATTTATGATGTCGAAAAAAAGCATGTCGCGAGAGAAAGAAAAAATTTATGTGTGTGTGTGTGTGTATGTGTGTATGTGAAAGAGAGAAAATTTGTCAGCTTGCATTTCGTCAAGATTATCGATGGAGATTTTTAACATTGATCATGCACGAACGCGATTCTACAACCGCAGTAGTTTATAATCGAAAATAAAAAGAAAATGCGTTGCGACACCTCGTGTCTGGAATATGACCGCGTTTTCCCTGACTCCTCGGCACGCCCGCCCGGGATCTTAGCTCGTTTAATATAACGTTTTTTTAACATGCAACCTCTCTAGTGAATAATATTCATGTAGTAATACGCGCGATACCGATGTCTCGTTTAACAAAGCCCGGGACGACGACGACGACGACGACGATGACGACGCGACCATTTAAATCCAGACACGGATAAAGAGATAGGTTTCGCGTGGCTACGCTTCTGCGGTTTGGTTTTCGATAATTAGCGGAAAGCAAAATTGCCACCAGTATCCTTCTTTCGGACAAGCGTTGGATATGTAACGTTCCAATTTTAAACCTATATCTAAATTTCGTTATAGATATTAAACGCTATGTAGAAAAAATATAACGAGAAGATTCGATGTATCAAATCTTTTCTAAGTTAGTTTAGTAAAACGCGGAAGCGTATTTTCGAATTTTTGTAGTTATCACATAATTGGCACTTTAGTATTGTTATAAAGAAAAAAGAAAAATTTATCATTAAACATGAAACAAAAAATATACAAGATATGAAGCACTTTATCACTTCTCTCTTCCTTGCGGCAGAAAAGAAAATATATTACATGTGTTTTATGTGATTCTAAAAGAGGATCTCGAAATGCGGAAGAATAGCTTTTTTCCTATAGTTTTCATTTTCAAAGATGTAATAAACCTTTATCATACGTGATTAACGATTTGTAATAAATCTAAAATTCTTCAAAAATTAAGCATGACACATGAAACATAATTTTAATAATACATCTTTTTCATATTGTGTGTTTGTACATCAGTTATTATTATCTCTCACTTCAAATGTCATTAAAATATGGATTAATTAAAATACTAAAAGAATCATCTTTTCGAGATCATTCTATTTCATAGTCTATATATCTTTAAAAATAAAAAACGAAATATTTATAACATTTACATATGACATCTTCTTAAGACTATGTAAAACATGTACCAAGTGGAACACGTTGCTACCGTACACGTTGTTACCTCGCCATAAATTCAATTTCAACTCGTAACATTTTGACTGAAGTTTTCGTAATTCCTTGGAAATCATGGACATTCACGAATATAGTTGAGAATTTTATTTTTCACTTATTACTCATATTATGAGCGATAAATACAAATACAGATTAAAACAGAAAGTAACATGATATGTGCATATGCTTCCTGTGCCAATTCCCAAGGAAATACAATATCAAAACAAAGTTAAAGGGATAAGCATGACTTTGGCGTGCTCATTATTAAGTGCAGAATGTGCTTGATTAATACAAAATTTTGACAAAAGTAAATTGCACTTTATTGAATATATTCGTTGATTTAGACAAGATCTACGTATAATACAGCAGTGGTAAAATATTTTCCCTTTACCGTATGCGAGAAATGATGTATACTAGGAAAGAGTTCAAACAATAAAACGCCAGTTGTTCTTTGACTTTGTATACATATGTAGAGCATATTTAAAGGGATATTTGTATGAATAAGAAAAAATCGTCTCTAATTCTATATCCTCTTGTACATTAAACGTCACGAAAAAATAGACTATATCTCCAGAATCATTTTTATTCCAACTTGAGAGGCTGGTTTATATATACTATATATATATATATATATGTATCTAGTACTTCAGTCAGCACAATTGACGTATTCATATATAAAGAGAAAAAGATATGAGGGAGAGAGAGAGAAAGAGAGAGCGAAAGAAAAAAAACTATTTTACGCTGGACGATATAATATATAATAGTAGTTGTTTAATATTTGCAATCGCAGATTATGACTTCCGAAATTTTCGCCTGCCACTTATTATAAAATGTTCTACACGATTATTCTCACATCGTTTGACTTCATGTTATGTCCTCGTCCATGTGCATATCCGTGTGTTCAAGTACAACGTGTTCAAAACCGTAGTTCACGCGAGATCATCGCTTTACATACTTGAAAGAGAGCTCTGCAAATTTTTAGTGTGAATGTTTTCGTTTTTAAGTAACTATATTATAATATTAATAATAAAGATAAATATATATAATAATGAAAACGAAGGAAAGAATATGAAGAAAAAATATACAAAATAATTATAATAATGTAATAATAATAATTAGAAGACGGCGGTTAATAAGTTATGAATTTTTGTAGCATACATTTTTATTTCGGTCTGTCAGAGGCCAATTTGCGTGTACCAACCAATTGAAAACAATATTACTGCGATAAAGAGGAAAGAGAAAAAAAAATAATGTTAAATGGAAAAAAATGAAAAAGAACAAACATCAGATGTATTGTAACTTTTTGCATTTAGTATAATACATATACCTATCTTACTACCAACCCTTATTATAGCATCTCTTTATTTATCGCAACATACCTTGATTTTGCTAAAAACTTTTAGTTGACTTTGCGCAAAAAATTACATTTTTGATGATTGTAATCGATTTTGTCGAAATTACTAAACATATTAGAATCATCATTTGATAGTGCTAGAGAAAATGTACAAGAATGATGTATACGTTGATTCAGAACTTTTTAATAATTATATTTATATAATATAATTTAATAATTATATTTATATAAATTAAAATATATATATTATTATTATTATTATTGATAGAAATAGATATAATGCAAGAATAAGAATTTTAAATTCATTAAGTGATCGATTAATAACGGATTATACAGTTTTTTAATCTTGATATCATGGCGTAAATTTTTCATTTTAATTAAAATATAACAATATTTTAAATATAAGCATGATTAAAGCATTAATTATTTTGTTGTGTTAAGTTTACGTCAAATTTTATCAGAATGTATCGGAATATTTGATTGAAAATTTAAGCAATCATCAAAAATCGATATTGAAAGAAAAATAAAAATTTTATTGAGACAGTCGATTATTTGCGAGTTGTACGCATTGCGTAAGACGGACATGTATGAGTGCGGCGGAAAGATCAGACGGGGGTGTAGGAAGAAAGAAAAAAAACATACGCGAGAGATGAAATCATCTTTCCTCCGCGGTATCGCTCCGGACAGATCGGCGCGATGCCGCAACGCGCCTCGAGCGCAGTCAGTAACGGTCCAGCGGCCGATTTGGAGGGTTGTTTCTCTTCTCGATCCTTCTTGAGAAAGGAAAACCTCGAGTGAACGGAGGAAGCGGTTTGCGAGGAAACGCCAACGCGAGGTACGAGCAATTTGCGACTTTTCGTCTTGTTAAAAATCTCAGTTATTCTCCCGCGCGTTCCTATGTTTAAGATATTTTCGATCACTGTTATTACTTGTGTTAATTATTACGCACGAATAATTTATTATTTATATCCAAATGCGTGATTTTTTTTATTATGCGATACCATGTGGATATTATTTGTTTTTACGTAATATAATTAATTTCACTGAAATTATATATCTAAACTAATTAATCTAGATAATTTGTTGATAGCCAAATTTGCTATTGTTATGTAGAGAAGATATTTTCATTAATTAAAATATACAAATTAATAAAGATCTAATTAATTTGAAACATTCCTACTATATTTATATTAAAATATAAATATAGAGGAATGTTTCAAATTAATTAGATCTTTATCAATTTGAGAAACGTTTACGTTTATGAAAGCATTTACAATTCTAAAACTAGAAGTAATAAAATATATGTTGTCAGATTGATATCATATATACAGACTGACACACGTATCCGACACAGCTACCTGGATACGGTAGAATTAATCAGAAATCGTACACGGATGAAAATAAAATAGACCGGCAATAGATTGCTTCTACGGTCAGAATTTAGGTATATAAAAGAAGTATCGTAAATCATGAGAAACCTCTTTTATGGGTAGTTTTAGCAGTTTTATGGGTTTTTCCATTTTTAACGAAATTTCTTTAACTTTCTGCAGAACTGAATTTCTGATAAACTTTCTGTATATATCGATATATTTACATTCTGAATCAAATAAATTGATGAAAACAAATATAATATTTTAAATTAATAAATATTTTAATGTAATATTTTAATTAAATTATTGCAGCAAATAACGTCCCAATTAATTTTCACACAATATGAGTCACTTACAGAACTGCATACGATGGCTATTTTATATCAGTGGGCGTACTTACAATTAATTTATCTTCTATCATATGTTACTCGGAAATCGTATCCTTCCTGGGACGGAAATCCAACATCCTTTATTTGTTGAGGTGCTATCATTGCGAAGATCTAGAAAAGAAAGATACTCTTGTTACAAAATTGTTAACGAAAAAACCTTGCATTTGTATTTATAATTTATGTTATGCTTTATATCACTTATTAAACGCTATTGAATAATAAATGAGAAAAAAATTAACATTTACATAAAAGTCTGAAAGCATAAAATGATATTTGCAATTTTCTATTAATATAGACAACTTAAAATAGCAATGCTCTCTGTAATCATTTCGAACAAACTTAATCATTCGACCTTTTCTCATGTCATGGTATGCACAAGTTCGAGTCGATAAGAAACTGTTGGGAATATATTATTTTTGAGAATTTATTCGAAAAAATACTCTGATATACATATCATTTGAAAACAAGATTCAACGTGAATAATGTGATTTAAACTCTTGATTATATTACAGATGAAATAATTCTTGGACTCCTTGAAAACTTAATTAAATTATGCATCATCACATTATACAATTGTTGCAATAAATTTTTACAACTCTGTTGTTCCAGAATTACTTTGTAGAAATGAACTAGTAAATAATTTTCATTAAAAACTATAGATATATGTATATTCTATACAGTTTCTTAATATTTATAATAATATTAATTTGTGTATAAACTTCCTCTATGAGCAAATTGAACGAACAATTGAACGAATTGAATCAACGCATTCAGCGAATATCTCGTCAGCAAATTAGTTAACTTTTAATTCCGCGTTGGTGGAGCTAGTACTTTAACATGGGGAAGATGAGTTTAGCTTTATGGTATCATATGTTTCGTGGGCGTAATGATTGAGCAAACTAAGCAAACAAAAAATTAAAACCAACATATTTCTAAAACTATGTACATTATATTATTTTACATTGATAGAATATTCATTTATTTTTTTGAATTACATATTGCCTTTGATTAATAAAATTCATTCTGTATTCCCCTTCTCTCATTAATACATATTTACTTTTAAAAAAATAATATCGAAGAATATTTGTTCCATATTAATTTATTCAGATATGTAATTTTAATTAATTTTAATTAAAGTTTATTATTATTCCGGAACTATGTATGTTTACATATTGGTTTTTCATTTCAACTCGTATCGAAATATGTTGCACTCGCGATTTGTTTTATTTATTCTATCATTAAATCATTTATTGTATAATTTTAACTAAAATTCTCTCTGTGTTTGTGAACACTGATCAATCAGAATATTATAGATTCCATTCGTAACACAATCATTCATCGTTTGTCGTTTTCATATAAATTTAAATAATGTTCGGATTCGTAAAAAAATAACATTCTCGTTCCACCCACGCAAATGATTCGCCCACGTCGACAAGCGGCGCGATAAAAAAGGGGGCCATGTGTCGCACGCGCGATTCCTACGCACATTGCGCGTACTTGAGCTACGCTTTCTGAAGAACCGCGCGACGCACCGCGAACGCGCTGCAACGAGATGACGTTGAGCGGTCGAGAGTCAGCATCCAGCTTCTTCCATACTCCATATGGAGAAGAGGAGACGAGACCTTAACCCGTTACGCAGAAAGCCTCCTCTCGTTCGGTCCATACGCAATTACGTATTAATAGCCGCCGAAATAAAGTATTACGCAATTTTTCGCGGAGAGTTCAGACGGACACTTTTGATAAGATTAGTAGTCTTTCTGGATATTCACATTACAAAATTAGTTGTCATCTTTCTTTGTAATTTGAGATGTATTAAAATCTAAATATAATATTTATTTTCTTAATTTATTGATATATGAACATTTTATTCGCATTTTGGATAAATTTCAGAATAGCATATATCAAATATGAGTCATCTTTTATTTTAATTCTCTTTTTTTATATTTTATTAATTCTTTTTCTCAATTATTTTAATTTTATATAAATGATGATCCTCTCATTTAATAAAAATAAATATGTCAGACGTACAAATATAGATTTTGAGTTTTCATCAATTATTCGTGGATTTCTTTGCCATAATATAATTATACTTATTATGTCTATGGTTTTTTCGTGTCAGTAAGAAATGAAAAAAACACAATACACATTGATTGTTCTTCGACTATAGAATTTATGAACTGTGTGTGATTCAAAATCGACTTAACAAATCATGAACATCTCAAATGCAATTAAGCGGAATTAAAATTCGATGGTGAGCATAATGCGTTTAACTTATGGACGACTTGAAAATATTCGTAGTTTACCAACCGAATGCCCCGATACTTGGTACTGTCATGGGATATTTACGTTCCAATGACATGTATACATTGTGCGTTTTCACACATGTGCGTTCGCTTCTCTCTCTCTCTTCCTCTCTCTTTCTCTCTCTAATTCTTTAATGGTATGTATATAAGAATTGCTGTCTTTTTAATAAAAAATTAATATGATCGAAAATAATATGTCATAGTTAAAGTAAATAAACAATGTACTGTGTAAGTAACATTTTATGGTATATATTTTAATTTATCAAAAATAAAGTTCAAGTTCAAAAGTATTGCATTTTATAATCATTTGAATCATAGAATGTATATTAAATAATATTCGAATAGTATTAAATATTTTTTGCTAAGTTATACATAGAAAATCCACAATCACATGATTTGTAAGATGAATTCGATCGCATTCAAATTTCATCGCTGACAAATGCAACAGCCGATCGCTGACGTTATGCCGCGTGCGCGCGTCCTTCATCATTGTTAAAATGCAACGATGAAGTGATGAGTCGTAAGCCGATTATTATGTCATATGCAACCGCTAAAGGTGACGAGAATGAGGGAACGATGTTGCGACAGCGTCAAACGAAGTCACGCGGATTAAAAGCGCGCTCTGAGATCGAATCAATCCGGATGTGTCTGTGTGAAACGATTCTTGATTTTCAAATATATATATCTAGGTTATCGCTTCGTTGCTCCTATTAAGGTCCCACGAGATTTATCGTTGGTCTCGCGTTGACCCGTTGATCGGTGCATGCGTGCATGCGTGTCGCGTTACGCAGTCGAGTAGATTTTTCGAACAAGTAGACGTTTCGCGACTCTCGTCTTTCGTGCCAGCATCAATTGAGAACGACGTAATAAAGCATTGGACGCGAGAAATGGATGGTTGATTTATTTACCCGTTTCAGAGTCGCTTGCACCAGATTTAGCTCAGGGATATTAACCCATTTCGGGGCTGAATCTATTCCGAGAAAAATCTGAATTCTTGGACTTTACGGTTTTGTTTGCACGGTATTCAAATGTGCAGAATTCAAAGATTCTTGGAAATTTTTGAATAAATTCTGTGTCGCATACAAGTGGAACGACATTAATAACACACAAGCCAGGATCGTATTTAAAAAATATAGAAAACGAATGAAGATAGTTTAAATTAAGCTCTCCGTTTTGCTGATAGCGTCGATCTTTCAGCTGTCATTGAACTTTATTAAGATTGAAAGAGATCGTTCTCTTCATTTTATATCCATTAATTTAAAGCAGATGCATCGCATCTGTTATTCATCGATATTCATCGATATCGATTTGTTTTAGAAATCGCAATGCGGACGAAGCTGCAGCTATTGTTGATCGCGTTGCTCCTGGCGGTCCTGATAGTGGATGTATCCGCCCTACAGGTACTATCCCTCGTAACGACACGCATTGTGACTTACAATAAAATTGTTCCAATTTCATCACAAAATTGCAAAGGAAAAATAAAATTTAAACTGTAATGTAATAAATAAATTAAATTCTCTTTGAAATTCTTTCAAAATTTTTCTCAATTATATTCCACGTGCATATAAATTATATAAAATACAATACTACTAAAAGAGAGAACGTCGATTATATAAAAAAAAATTTAGTTATCTTCTATTATTTAAAATATGTATATAAAATATGTGTTCTATTGTTTAAATTTAAAATATAAGAAAGAAAGAGAGGATTATTAATCTGATTTGATCTAAATCGAGTCTCAGCATAGACGGAAATATCGACGTCGCACGACCACAACGGAGGTGCCCGTTCAAGATGAGATCATGAACATGCTGGAGGCTGATGAAATAGCCGAGGAGGCGGAGGACGCTGAGGTCATTCTCGAAAATGGCAGAAACGAGGCTGGATCGAAGCAGCAACTCCAGACAGACCCGTGCCTGGACAAACACTGCGGCGCTGGTCGCATTTGCCAGGTTCGTCGAAAAGAAAATACTTTTAATATATAAAAGATTGATTCGCGTGTTGCAAATAAATAACTTAAAAATATTACCTAGGAAATTTATTTGCTCTATAATTTTCCTCTAAATTAACTTTTTTAATTCTTAATATTAAATCTTCTTTTTAATATTCATTTTGTATTCATTTATATATCCTTCAGATCTTTTTTATCTCTCACCTCCAACATCTAGCATTCAATAATATATTGAAATAAATATAAGGAATACATAAGCATCTTAACATATTTCAATATCGAGTAAGAATTTAATCCTCTTTTTATGACAGATAGAATAAGAAGGAGAATGTGAATAATTTCTTCGATTTTAGATTACGGAAGAGGGTACGGCCGAGTGCGTTTGCGTGGAGCTCTGTAACCAGGAGGTCGATCCGCGTCGTAAGGTCTGCACTAATTATAATGAGACCTTCGGCAGCGACTGCGAGGTGTATCAAGCGCGTTGCTTTTGCAACACCGGTGACGCCAGGTGTAAAGGCCCCGACTATCAACATGTCCACATCGAGTACTATGGCGAGTGCCGACAGATGCCCGTGAGTATTATTCCGTTACAAATACATACATGTACGTTTTTTCTATGATATATCGTTATGTAAGTGAAAAACTAAAACTTTTCAATTATTTTGCTCTTTGAAAAAAATATCTATATAACTTTTTAAAAATTTTATTTTTCTAAGAGCGCAAAATTTTGGTAAACAAGAAAAAGTCACGCTTTTATGAATTTTTATTCTATAGAAAGATATTGTGTGCATCTATCCGCTTTTATAAATAAATAACATTTGTTTTTTTCCAGATTGAGAGAAACAAAGCAAAATAAATTTTTCAAATCCCAATGTTTATAAAGAAAACTTTATTATTTTTCCCACCAAATATTTTTGTTTTTATACTAGCGTGTTTCGTATTTATTAATATGATCTATCTATCCATCTAGTATCTTTATAAAGCAAAATAATATTGCGATATGATTATATAAACTATGTTGCATAAACCATTTACATAAACCATACTGGATATTTTTTATTAATCAAAGTTATTATTTTTATTAATCATATTTGCTGTCGCTGAGAAAAATCATTTGATTTTATCAACAAAACGTGATAGGAAGGTATTTTGATTAAACTAGAAGCAGAATTTCTAGTTATCATAAGACTCGATTTTTTATAACTAGAACGTTTAATAGACTTTACTAAGGACTTTTTTAATATTTTCCAGTTGGATTTATAAAACTTCTTGTTACATTAATTAAACAAAGTGATGCCATTTTTTTATAAATTTAGTATTATTACTAAGAAAATTTGATAAATTTAACAGGAAGAAATTAATCATACTCATCTTCCTAAAGGAATTTTGATTCATCAATTTTCCAAACAGACCAGACTGATTGAATCTACCAGACTTCAAATTAATGCAATCAGATTTTTTTCTCAGCATAGATCTAAAATCAAAAAATAATTTAAAGATAAAATTTTAATCAAATCTCTCGAAATCTTTTCAAAACTTTTATTCTAAAATGCTAAATTGGCTTGATACACGCAGATGTGTAAGGAGGAGGACATGGCAGACTTTCCCAGGCGAATGCGCGACTGGTTGTTCAACATAATGCGCGATTTGGCAGATCGTCAAGAATTACCGTCACATTACCTGAAGATGCAACGCGAGGCCGAAACCAATCACACATTACGTTGGACAAACGCGGCTATTTGGAAGTGGTGCGACTTGGACGGGCATCCACACGACCGGGCGGTGTCGAGGCACGAGCTCTTCCCGATCAGGGCGCCTTTAATGGCCCTCGAACACTGCATCGCGCCCTTCCTCGATTCTTGTGACGTCGACAACGATCATAAGATCACGCTGATCGAATGGGGCAAGTGTCTACAGCTCGATGAGGTATCCATCTTTTTCTCTCAACTATTTTCTCTCCAAGGAAAAACAATATCTCATACAAAGTATTATAAAGCTAAAAATCTATTTCCTTATAGAAACTCTTTATTTTATTCCATTTCATAAAATTGCGATGTCTTGCTATTTTTTAAAATAAAACATTCTTTGATTCAATTCTAAATAATAATGATATTAATAACGAATAATGATGATATCAAAGGATATTCAGGAATCTGATTAATCAGATTACCAATCTATAATACGTAAAATTAATTACGCAAAATTATTATATTTCACGAGACTTTAATTTGATCGATCTAACAGCATAATTACAATTTCAGGACGACATAGATGACAAGTGCGATGAATTGGCGGAAGCGACTCACGAGGATTAGAGACTCATCGAATCCTTCTCCTCGGAGGAGGACGGAAGATGGGCGCGAGCGACAGAGACACGGGATAGAGTAGATCGGGGATATGCGAACACAATAGCAGGACAGACAAACGGTCAAGGAAGGCGCGAAGGGCGCGAGTAACGCGCAGGGAAGGGCAGGGCAGGGCAGCGGACGGTGGGGCAGGAGAAGGGAGAGGGGAGGGCGAATAAAAATGGCGGGAAAAATCATCGCGAACGCGCATGCGTGGTCGCGGCAGCACGCAGGCCCCGCACGCATCGACGAGTCGATACTATGCGACGAGGCCGTATCGTTGCGATGCCGATACGCCTTGCCGTGCCATGCCATGTCGTCTCCTCGTTAAGTGCCAAGCAATCGGGCTACTCCAACTCGGCTCCTCAATAATACAGGCCTTATCGTCGATGCGGCGTGATTTGCAATTATGACCGATTACGCGGATGGAAGAATTCAAATTCCAATATGCAATCGAACGTCTCGATACTTACGGTCGCATCAATTAATTTGAATTCAAGTCAAATGAAGGACACGCGATTCAAGGCGTATAAATGAAACTTGCGAATAGATATTTGCTCTTTCGAGACAGGGAAATTTGAGTCAGAAACGATGCAGAGAATTTAATTCGGAAAATTTTTCGGATAAAGGGAAGGGATACGTCTCGATTATAAATAAAACTAATAAATTGTATTAAACAGAAGTTCGTCATTTGTCAATTAAGGGAAGAGAAATTTATCCAGGAATATCCATGCGACTATAAAGCTAAAAATAAATGTAAGTGGAGTTGAACTTTATCGACAAACTCGTCGATGCGAGATATTCGAATAATGCGGATCTTTTACACATTTATTCGCCATTTTATGATCGTCCCGCCATATGTCGTTAACCGTCCGTTTCGCCGTCCAATGACGATACAGAATTGATCGTAGAAATTAAAGATTCCCCTTCCGAGCATATCTCTCAAGAAAAAAGTGTTCCGAAATATATTATATAAGATACGTTAGGTTCAATATAAAAATTCGTGCTCGCGCCCCCTGTAGTATAATTTGTTACCCTGTAGCAACATATTTTCTATATGCGATTTTTTTTGTATAAAATCACTGCCTTTTTCCATCAATAAAGAAAAATAATATCGTTCGTCCACTTTCTCTTACACGTTCCAGATATTTTTGGTCCTTGCAAACATCGTTTTCCGTTTTTCTTTTGTTGTAACGTATATAGTTTAATCCGTTTAAAGATATGCAATTAAATCATTACAGAATTCAAAGTAACATTATATATTATGCTGCATTTCGACCCTTTTTCGATTATTTTTAAAAATTGAAATACTTGATAATATATGAAGAGCTTTATATTTTTAATTAATGTGTATTAATTCTATTAATGTATTAATAAATGTTATTGCGCACAAGAATCAATAATTTGTCAAATATAAATATTAAATTATTGAATCAATTATTATTTACATTGTCGTTCGTATTAATTACGTAAAGATCACTTGTTTAAAATATTTTGTCGAATTGGAATGCATATATGCTTATAATAATGAAATTGTTTTTAATTTTATATCCAAATATTTTTATAAAAAGGCATTTTTTTCTCCAAGTATATAGGGGAGATGAAAGCTAGACAACTAAATTTTACATTTCAAATGCTTGTAAAACGCAATAATGTTATTTCAACATTTACAAACATTGAAGATGTCAACAATAAAATACAGCTCGATATTTACACAGTTTCTTATAACGAGATATTTGAAGCGAATTATGGTAAACATGTTCTACCTTGTTTTTTTCCTCTGTTTATTTCATTTTTATTCATACGTCCAGTCATAGCTTATCGACGAGACGACGACGAACATATGACGAGGAAATCAAGAATCGTTCTCGCATAAATACGCGTGACGCACACGAATCTTGACCGGAAACGTTTATAGCCATAGATAAATATTGAAATAGATAGATTGCGCGCGTTTCTATCTGAGACAAGAAGTATTAGTAAGAGAGAACGCTAGAAAATGGAATACGCTTTCCTCGTCTGCTTTTCTCGGAAGCATCCGACCCTCTATCGCCCTCTCTTACTAACGTAACTTCTCGCTTCGATGGAAGCGCGCAGGTCCATCTACGTGAGCTCACAATCTATGATCATAGCCGAACCGCTAACTCGTCGCTGGCGTCGCCAGACGGCGCGCGAGTCGCTCGCCGCTCGGCTCCCATTGGCCGGCGCGCGGTCACGTGACGCGCCGCGGGACGCGTCAGTAGCGCCAAGCGCATTTGGCGGGCTCGTCGCGTTTAGACGGCGTCGTTCGTGACTGCTTGCGAGTCTTTCGTGCTGTGTGTGTATCGAGTATCCACGTCGCGCAATGGTGAGTATCCGCGTGTTTTTGACGCGCTCGACGGCCATCCGCGACCGCCGTCGACGTCCCCGCGCGCCGCGGACTCTTCCCCGTCGACTGACGGGGTTTCGCGGCTGTATCTCGCAAATTAACCGTGATTTTTGTGTCCGAACAGGCTGGCGGTAAGGCGGGCAAGGACTCTGGCAAGGCGAAGGCGAAGGCGGTCTCGCGCTCGGCTAGGGCCGGCTTGCAGGTGAGTGAGGCGACGACGTTGAACGCGTACGGGTCGGCGGAATCGATTCGAGGGACCACGCGTGTCCTCGGCTCGCGCGCTCCCGACTGCTATTAACCGTTCCTCTTTATCTCGTGCGCTCTCGCGGCCTTGCAGGTTAAATCGTCATGGTTGGCGCGAAAAACCCGGCAGTCCCGACTCTCGACACCGCGACCGGCGAGGCGGATTTTCGGCGGCTCGCGGCTCGCCCGGATACGTCGCGAGTGCGCGCGTTTCTCGCTCTCGGCCCGCGTCGCGTCGAGGACCCTCGAGGCAGCCGGGACGCTTTTTATTTTTCGAATACGTCTCGCGTGCGGGCCTCGCGACCGTTTTTATATAAACGCGCCGGTTCCCAACCGTCCGATCGATCGCTCGTCCCGCGATCGTTTCGACTCCGCGGTGACCTCCCAGGGTCGGAATCGACCGTCAATTTTTGCCGCGATCGCGCCAATTCCGACTTTTGTGTGTACATACGTACGTACGTACGTACGTGCGGGCGAGCTCCGAGCGACGCGAGCGAAAGCGTCGTTTCCGTTCGCCGTTTGTTGTTTCCTGTTCCCGCGGTTGTCATCGATACGCTCGACGCTTTCGACTTTTTCAATTTTCTTCTTCTTCCCCCCCCCCCCCCGTATTCGTATTTACGTACTTACGTTGCTCGCGAATATCCGCGAATATCCACGTCTATATCGATCGCGCGTACCGGCGATTTTATCCGTCGATTTAGGCCCCCTCCCTCCGTCCCTTAAAAGTGCCGATTGCACGGAATTGTTACGCGATTCCGCGGTCCGGATCGAACCGGCGAGGCGCGAGAATGCAAATTCGAACGGCACGTCGGTCTCGTTCTCGTCCATTTGCTCGCTCGATCGCGCGTCGTTTTAATCGCGATTATCTCATCGATTGACTCGTCGTTGGTCGTGTCGGACGCACGTAGAAGTCATCGTGATTTTCGAGATCGTTCCGTGAAATTTGTGCCTCGTACGAGTCGTTCCTCCCTTCCCCTTCCCCCGCATCCTCTTCCCTCCTGTCATCCAACGTATGTAAATATACGTACATATATAACATTTTTACTAATATATATTTCGATGATTCTCGTGCGGTAAAATTCCATCGAATAAAATCAAAGTTATTACATAATACACGTGCTCGGGAAGTCGTATCTAACGAAGACGATTTTTTTTTTTTTCCTCGAAAACTGATATAATTTTTCTTTATTGTATTTTAGTAAATTTAATTTTTCACTTAATTTATATAATTGTTGTAAATTATATCAATTTACAATAATAATAAATTAAGTAAAAAAGATTATATTTGATAATTAAAAATTAATATTTTAACTATTTCATCGAGTTTAATCGCAATAAAAATTAACAGCCAAAATTAATTGCTTTTCTAATGATTTTGGAATTTAAATTTTACAGTCTCTCTGTTTGGTTTAATTATAATTTAATGGAAAGTGGAGTACTTTAAACATTTCCTTCGGTTGATAAAAGAATTGAAGGGAAAAAAACGTATCTATGAATTAGCGTTATCGTTATTTGTGAAGAAAGAGAATTATAAATAAATATATAAATCAACTTTGTTTCCGATACGTTATCGTGTGTTCTTTCCATTGTTGCGATGAAAACTCTTAATTGCGAAGCACTAAATTAAAGCACAATCTGTCCTTCGAATGGTAATTGAATATCCGTCTCGATGTCACATCAGGGAGCAAAATCCATATCCACTTTCAACATTTAACGTTAGCGTTACCCGGAATATTCTTTGTCTACGAAGATCGTGCACGGCTACATTTAGCTGATTTAGCGCTAAATGCGGCATGTGAATAGGGACCTGAAGTGACGGGCACCTACGCTACGAGTCGATATTACTGCGCGTTAATTTCGTGTCGCCAATAATATTTGGCAAATAAGATTACTCCGAGATATAGTTCGCACGCTCCGTCAAGAGATCAGTATCTGTAAGATGATCTGTTTCGGGACATTTTGCTCGTGAACATCGGAATTAATTCTATCTTGAAATATATGTACGAGAAATTGATCGTACGAAAGAAGCTTCAATCGGCAATAAAGCCATCCAAGTATTTTTTCGAATAATTTTGCACTTCTCGATTTATATTCTCCGTTTGATTCGATTGCGTGTAGCTTAAATATTATTATTTATATGCTTCTCGATGAAAATACAGATGTGTGTGCTTCGAGGAAGATAAAAATTTCAACTAACTCTCGTGGACCGTATCTTAATCTTATCTCAAAGTTGGCTGAAATAGATTATAATAATAATACAAGAACGCGTATATTATTCGAGCGATATGATCTGATAAACGTAAACACGAATAGAAACTGGAATTATACGTTTAACAGAATATAAAATTCAAATTTATTTTGATCGATTTGAATTTTTTTCGACTACTAGATCGTACGTTCCAGATGACTTTTCTCATCGCGGTTCCAGTTTTATGTTATAGAAGCGCAATATTTCGACATGCCGATCGTGTACGTACTCGATATCAGCGGTGACAAAATTATTGTGCAACAATATCGACCGTGCATGGGAGGAGAGGAGGGGGGAGGGAGAAACCAGCCACTTACGAGAGTATCGTGCAATCGACACGCGAGAGAATCCACGAACGGAATTTTAGAGCAACGGTCGGGATGCGCCTTAGAACGAGATTCTCAAACGCGTTTCTGGGCGTACGTCGGATGACGAAACTTCGTGCCAAAAGCTGGTGAGCGCGAGAGTAGGAGGGAGAAAGGGGATAGAGGCAAAGACGGGAGGAGAGAAAGAGTGAGATGGAGATAGAGATGGAGAGAAACAGCGAGCCAAATCGTAACCGCTCGATATTCATAGCGTGAGAACGAGATTGGTCTCCGATATTCGCGCGCGATTTTCGACAAACGAGAAAGATCTCTTTTTCTCTCTGGCGAGAGCCAGAGAAATAGACGCGGACACAAAGCGACGCGATGCCGAAATGACGTCACGTTATTGTCGCGTAAACGGAATCTGAACAGACGACGACGATGATGCCGGACGACGATCGCGAACTCGTCGTCTCGATCGCGGAACGAACACGGAAATCCATGCCATCGTTTATTATCGTTCGATATCCAGCCTCGGCCGAGAGCTGCTGACGCCGTGACCGACGGTCGGATGTCTTGTCGACGGGTAGTAGGCGCGCGCGCTAGATCCCGTCCGAAAAACATTCGACTCGACAACGTCGTCGGTACGAGTTCCGGCAGAAGTCACTAGACGCGTCGTCAGTGGCGAATTAAGGCACGCGAGGGCACCAGGGAAATGAAAATTTCAATAAAAAATTTCGAAGTAATTAATCTAAATTGCTAATGTCGTTATTGATATCAATGTGTACATACATTAGTAAAAAGTAATTTATGCTATCATATCGAAATTTTATCACACGCTGCAAATAATATGCTTATCGACCTATTATTATAATCATCATTCATAATTATCATACATTTTATATATACTTGTAAAAAATATTTTAATACAGAATTTTCCGATTATAAAATTTATCAACCGATAGTAATTTATTGATTTTTAGACTGCATATTTAAAACAATAGCAAAAAGTGTTTAATCGATATTAAATATTTTAAATCTTTTATTTAAAGATTTAATTACAATTTTTTAATGTGAGTTGTAATATATAATTAAATAAAAGGCTTGAGAGACTCAAAGGAATCTAGAGAAATGCCTTTTACGTTCGTGAAAAACTGCCTTTGTAACTTAATAGTTGTGAATATATATATATTAGTTAAGAGTATATTTACGTAGTTTATCCACGCGATCCACTAGATATATACAAGGTATTTTTTAGTATGCTACGAACAACATGTTTTCTTTACAGGGAGTATGTAAAATGATCTTTTTACTTTTACACATATCTTTTAACATGTCCAATACATTACGAGTTATTTTACAATTTTTGAGCGTTAACAAAAATTGAAAAATTCAAATAAAATATGAATTTAATAGAATTTATATGAATTTTCTTTTGTTATTTTTATATCTAGTAGTAATTCAATTTTCGCAAATGCATATATTAAGAAATGTATATCGTGTATACAGAATGTTACTGAAAATAATGTGGTATATTTTTTTCCACAATTTTTTATTTTTATTTTATTTATTTATTTTATGTCAATTTTTATTTTATTTATTCTATTGTTATTCAATTTATTTCAAGTCTTTGATAGGGTGAAAACATATGTTTTGTATATACATTCTTATTGTTCCTAACCGTGTGTGTGTGTGTGTGTCTTTATTTTTTATTTTTTTTTTAATATTCCTACAAAACTCAATGTTATTCGATAACATTTGGAATAAAAGATGGATTTAATGGAATTTATATAATGTTTTCGAAAGTTTTTACTTCATATCTGCCATGCTATTGATAATTAATAATGATATTTTGTAATAGAATTCTCTAAATAGATTAGATACAATGTAAAATGTTCAGTTCGGAGCCACACAATAATATTGTACATATATTTTCATTCAATAGCCAAGAAAGAAAAAAACATATGTATGTACGTAATGTATTTATCAAATTATAAAATTTATTATAATTACGTAGCATGACATACGTGTGACCGAGCTTTGTATCACTACACGTGTTACATACATTCCTGCATGTCACAATGTAACGTCAGTGTTTCTCATTATTTAAAAAAAATATATATATGCATATGTCAGTTGTCCAATTACTGTTCTTGCTTCATTTGATTCGCGTCTGGAGTAAAAAAGCATAGCTAATTTAGTGGTCTATTGCAGTTCCCGGTGGGCAGAATTCACAGGCATTTGAAAAACAGAACCACGAGTCATGGTCGAGTAGGTGCCACTGCGGCAGTGTACAGTGCGGCCATTTTGGAATACCTCACGGCCGAAGTAAGTGAACGTATGTGAATGAATGTGTGTGAGCGAAAGAGAAAGGGGAGGGGAAAGAGAAAAGGCGAGAAAGATTGTAATACTGATACTGAAAGATTGTAATACTGATACTGAAACTGAAACTGAAACTCTCTATTAGATACATTAATGTAATAACGTGACAAGGGTCGAGGTAAAAGTAAAATAAAAATATTTTCGCAAAAATGATTCTTGAGCTATTAAAAGAAAAGCTGAAATGTATACAGGGCGAATAGTAAATATTACAAACGATGAAATAAATAGAGTCATATAAACTATAAAAGTAAGATTAAGAGATACTTAATACGTTGGAAATTCGATGTTGGAAAATTGTTTGATTGTCATTGCGCTTGCAAATTAATGCTATTAATATTTAATTATTAAATTACGCATTTTTTTTTGCTATTCTACATTACATTTAATTTATTTGATATAAACGTAAGTTTATTTTTTTAAAGATAACTATATTACACTACATTATGTCTGTAATGTAATTAAATATTAAACATAATCATTAAATGTAAATACATTTAATAAATATTTAACGTGTATGTATTAGTATAAAAGCGTAAAAAGGAAGACGAAGAAAGATTGAATAATGAATAAAGAGAGAAAATATATGCGATAGAGAGAACAGCTGTTATAAACAGCATGCTCACAAAAGAATGCTGAGGGCACTATAGTCGCTAAAACAACATGGCCAACTTTCCCGCCTTATTTTTAAACAAAATATCAAGACATTACATAAAAATATCAAGATATTACATATTTATTGAAATTAAAATTTGTCAGAAGTTTATTTCATTTAACGAACTATATTTTGTCTAATTTATTATTTTCTTTTGTTTTTTATATGATGATAATTTAATTCATTTCGGTTATCAATATATTGTTATATATGTATTTATTGTATAAAAAATTTAATTCCATTTAATTTATTTACATTTATCTGTGCATCTCAGTTTTTTTGTACTATATAAAAAATACCAAATTGTAAATATGTTAGTAATAATAATTATTTAAATAATTATTAAAGAAAGAAATAAGAAGTGAACATAATATCGAAAAAGAAAATATTAGATAAATGTACGTAGAGTTTGAAAAATTGTTTAATTTTATTTCATTTTTTTAAAAATCTTTTTTAAATTGCATTACATACTGTCAAACAACTGTTATTAATTTATTCTTAAACAAAGTGTCATTTTCGATAATCTCTTTTTCTCATAAAAACATTGATTAAGCATGCAACCTTACACGCAATTTCAATTGAAATAATTTTACTTTTATTTATAACTGATACAATTTTACTTTTAAGTTTCGAAATTTTTAGAATTAAAAATATTAATTTTTCAAACACCACATTAAAATTATTAATAATTTAATATATAAATCTTTTTATATTATTGTGTTAATAAAGATTATTGTAAAGAATAAAATATGAGAAAAGAAAAAGAATATACATATATAAATAAACAATCTATTAATATTTGAAAAATAACTTTAATTTGCATTTATCAACAACAAGAGTTTAAGGTAAGAACAATTACATATTACAATTAAGTTGGTAAAAAAAATACTATGTGATACTAGAACAGACTAATGATAATATTATTTTTTAAATGCCTTACACAAAAAGAGAGCAATTTGCATTTATTAGTGAGCATTTAATGCAAGTTTAAAGCAAGTATAATGTTACATAATTGAATTTTAAATAAATAAACAATAATATGTTAGTAAAAATAATATTATTTTTGAAAATGTTATTACAGTTGTGCTTCAAATTAGTTTCTATTATTCAACTTTGAAAGTTAAAATATTTTATTAAATAATTATAATCTTTTTTTTATTTAGGTATTGGAGTTGGCGGGAAATGCATCAAAGGATTTGAAAGTTAAACGTATTACACCTAGACATCTGCAACTTGCCATACGTGGTGATGAAGAATTAGATAGTCTCATTAAAGCAACTATTGCAGGAGGAGGTACATTTCTTATTAATTTTCTCAGATAATATAACTTATATATTATTTATTAATATCTCAGACAGCACAAAAAGGTCAAAAGCTATCTTAAAGACGTCTTTTGGACATGTGTGCTGTCTGGATATAACTAATATAATCGTTAACGATATATAATTTTAAGAATTAACTTTGTTATTAATTGAATTAATAATACATTGTAGCAATGTATACTTTTAAATTATCAAAGTTTTTTATAGAATTTATTGTACAAAATTTTAATATTATTCTTCACATATTTTACATTAATGGAAACGCAAAAAATATATATGCATATACGTGTTTTTATTTGATTCTAGGCGTCATTCCACATATCCACAAATCGCTTATTGGCAAGAAGGGTTCGCAGAAACCAGCATAATTTAGCGATAATTGATATGGAACATTTCAAGATTTGTGGGCAAATGGGAGGAGGAAAGAGTTGATCCAGTGTTTGTTGACAAAGTGTACCTAGGTTACTAAATCGATGAAGAGACTGGCGTGATATATACATAGAGATATATATAGATATATAAATAAAACAGTATATTGATATATAATTTAATATAGATAAAAATGAGAGTAAAAAAAAGACAAATGTTCACCATACAATTGACTATGAAATAGGCAAGACGGGGAGGATTGTAGACCGAGAGTAGGAAATTTTTAGTGTGTTGCGAGCGATGCGTTGTAGTATGGCTTGCTCGAGATAACAACAGTCTTTGGTACAGTTTGCAACTTATGAACACTGCGGAAGCATCAGAAGGCGTGTGAAAACGTCTTCAAATTATTATGTTTAATTATTTACGATACGATTTACACCATGGATGAAGCGAATCATTTTTGCTTTTATCGAATCACTATTGCTTAATTTTATTTCATTTAAATCTTTTTTAAATTGCGTCACATATTGTCAAAGAACTCTTATTAATTTGTTCTTAAACGAAATATCACTTTCGATAATTTGTTCTCACAAAAACATTGATTAAGTGTTCGTTACACGCAATTTCATTATTCATTGTTTAACGAGTTTGAGTATACTTTAAATTTATTGCACACGTTAACGTGATATTCTAATATTGAACTCGGTTACCTGAACTATATTGCACAATTGCATTATTAAAGGCTGCTATTTAAAGTATCTAAATACAATATAATATCTATTTTTGAAAATATTTATTATGATATTAAATATTTTACTTTGACGAATTAATAATATATTCAGATTCTGCTAAAAAATCTACAACATAAATAAATTTTCATTATTTAAAATGTTTATATCCTTTTTTTATATGTAAATAACTTTATATGTATCAGTTGTTAGTATGCATTAGTGCAGTGTAGAACGAGTGACTGAATTCGCTATAATACATAAATTAAGCAGTAAAGATTTCCTTATTGTCGGATTCATCTTATCGCCCGAGAAAAAAATACACTTATATAATTGTATAAGGCTAAGATCATATAATGTGTATGTATTATATGATCATATATAATAATCAAAATTTGGCGTGATATGATCTTATCTTTATGTTATCATATTCGGCTAGACCTGATTATATATAAAAATAGATCTCAATAATATGATTGTATAATATGATTATATAAAAATAAAATTATAAATATGATTGTATGAAAATGAAATCAAATCGCTCCAAATTTTGTATGTGTGGATTTTATTGTAACACATTGTGTGTGTGTGTATGTATGTGTGTATGTATGTATGTATGTATGTATGTATGTATGTATGTATGTATGTATGTATGTATGTATGTATGTATGTATGTATGTATGTATGTATGTATGTATGTATGTATGTATATAATCATATAAAATTATACAGATATCAGATCTTTCCGTATCTAATTACTTATACATTTGATTATAGTATATTTATTTTTTTCTTGGGCGGTAAGAAAAAAAGAAAACAAAATGCAAGGCGGACGTTTACACATGTGACTTCCGAATTTACAACTCGAATGACTCCACATTTTGCCAAATGCGTATAGAAATATATAATAAAGTTTCCAGACTTTAAACTGCTAACTATTTAAATATCTTAAAATTTTTGCTCTTTCACTAGTACACAGGTTTTTTTGCGCGTTTTTCTTGTTAGGATCACAACAGTCATTATAGAGGTCAACAATTTCAGAGTTTTGAAAGTTTATACGATTCATTGTACAGAATTTTTTAGTTAAGAAAAAGAATGTAACAAGACAAATATCAAATGTTATATGATTTAAACCTGCAAAATTAAACAAAATTTGCATCTTAAAAAATTTGTAAAGAAATCAGAATATAAGTTTTTTAATTCTATTGCAAATTCTTTGAATATTGCGATCTTACAACAATAGCGAAGACTGACATTTCAATTTCTTGTAAAATATAATCAGAGGTAGATATAGAAATGCGATTCGAAAGCTTGTCCATATCCGAAAGCTTATTAGCATATATGAGGACGTGCAAATTTTTATTTTTGCTTCACTTTATAATTTTTTTTTTTATTTTGATTGTCACTTCTTCGTTGTCTGTATGATTTAAATAATTTTTACCTTTACGGAAGAACGCAGAACACATCGTACATTAAATACCAGCCATATGTAAAACGTTCATTTTTTCGTAATAAAGATAAATTTTATTACTAAATATTTCCTCAAATCAAATTATTATGATACTTTTACATAAAATCTTGATTTAGGAAAATTAGTTACTTTGTAAAAGTGGAAAAAAAAGATTTATTCCTATAAGTAATCTAATGTAAATAAAATAAAAAACAAAAATTATAATAATATCAAGAAAAAAAGTGCTGTATGTTTATCTTATATATTTATACATACTATGTCATATATTTACATTATATCTCATATACATGTATTGTATTTTAAAATAGTGAGGAAAATGATCGAAGAAAGTATATAAGCGACTCATATACATATAGATATATATATATGTAAAGTTTTATAAATAAGCCTAAATTTCATTCAATAACGTCTGATTGAAACGTAATACGATCTTGTCATCGATGCCTGACCTGACCTGACTTGACCTGACGGTCACGCGTCGCGCGAGCGTTCGTGCCATCTGGTGAGCAATGTCTCAACCCGTGGAGGTCCCCGCCGGCGGCTCTTTCGACGAGCTTCTCACACCGGCGAGATAGATGAAGGAGGAGGGAGGCAGAGAGCGCGCGCGTCATCGGTGAGCGCGAGCGAGACAGAGGGAGGGGAGAGAGTACGAGCTCCCCACTCGTAGCGGCGCAACGTTCAGAGTTGTGGTCGCCTTTCACAGGTACGGTCGAGTCGGTTGCCCGAGCGGGGCTGGATTAACGTAAACGTTCGCGATCGCACTCGCCGAGTTCGAGTTCCGGAAATTCTGCCGTCGTCGCCCGGTGAGTCGTTCGAATCCGGGGATCGAGATCGCGTCATACGCGGATATCTGCGTAAAGACACGCGTATCTCTTTTGCTCTGAACCGTGCGATCCGGGTTCGCGGTGACAAATCGTTCGCGTGGAGCAGGAGCGAGAGTGTAACATCCCGGAGGACGCGAATCTCCCTCCGCACCTCGTGCAACACAGAGAGGTGGAGAAAGACAGACGCGCGTCTCATTGTTGCATTGGAGCAGCATTTTTGAAATCGTCTCGAAGATTGCCGCTTCTGTTTATCCGTCTGTCTGGCTCGCTTGATGCTGTGTCGCACGAAGTTGCCGGTGTTTACGTGTCACTCGCGTCCGCGTTCGCGCGTGATTGGTTCCTTACCGGTGATCCTCGCTCGCGATATCAATATTTGGTCGCGGAATTCGCAGAATTCTCGAGAGGAATTCCTTTCAAGGAAAGAGATTGCCATTCGAAAAATAAAATCTTTCTTTTTTTCGATCGTGTCATTGAAACTGATTTCGGAGTAGCCGTTCAAGTGAATCGCTCGTTTCGCAAAAGTGTGTAATTTTTAAACGGTAATATATAATGAATAATATTATATAATATTTGAGAATATAGGGAAGAGAGAAGAGACGTCTTTTTCATAAACAGATAAGTTTTCCTCTGTCTTTATATTTACATCGAGCGGCTGACATTGACGTGTTTGTCATTGACGTGTTATCGGAGTTATGCGCGAAAGTTAAAGATGTAATGTTAAAATTACATTATATATATTCTTACGCACGTTATTATTGAAAGATATATTCAACTAATAATACATAGATTTTAATATTGTAGCTTCTCAATATTTTTTTCAACATTGTGTGAGAATTGAACGTTACTCAAAGAATATTTATGATTAAAAAAAATATATAAAAGAGAAATAGTTCGCGACACTACCCGTAAAGAATAGAATATTATTAATTTAATCTGGAATATATGTGAATTATTATTATTAAAGTACTTTTGCAATATTTAAAATTTCTCGTTCTCATTACATAAAATGTTTCTACATTATCGATTAATAACATTTTTTTGCTAAAACTATATTACGCATGATTATTAATAATATAATAAGTTAATGGAAAAGATATGAAATATTTTTATCGAATTTTGCAAATGTAATTTCTTATATATTTGATGATATTTATCTTTCGATATTTGCATGGGAATCTTTACGGATGATTAATATATTTGATATCAATTAAATATATTTATTTATATAGTAAATTAAATTAAATTTACATAATTGCGGCTATAAACGTAAAGATTATTTATTAATTATCTTCAAAGCAGTAAGGATTTAATGAACATGTGCGCCTAATTATGGTCGCACAGATCCGAGCGCAGATGGAAGGAATGTAATTACACTCGCCTTTGTATCTAACGAATTGAGTAAATCAAAGTACACGAAGTCTTCGCTTAATTGACTCGATCTTTTAGAAACATAATCGAAAGCAAGTAACTCAATTAAAGTGTAATTTCTTTAGTTCTTTTTAATCCTTTGAGTACCGTTTTATCTTTACTTATTCACAATGTCTAACGTATCACACAATGAGATCGGACAGAGAATTGAGCGAATAAAACTGTTTACGTTTCAGCTAAAAATAAAATTAGAAATAAAATTGAAAACATGATTAATATAGATTAATTCTTTTTTTTATATATCGTTAATTATTATTATAAATATTAAATATTATTCTTAAATATATTATCATCTTAATTATTATGTTGAATATTTTTAAATATTATTCTATATATTAGATATTATTCTTAAATATTATATATATATATATATTACAAGTGATTATTATCGATGTAATTATTTTATATATGTAAAATGCGTATAAATTCATGCGGGATAACGCGAAGTGCATCGTCGCGTTTCGGACGAGTAAATCTGAATTTTCAAATTTCGCGCGCGATTAAGAACGCGCGGCTAAATTTCGATAACTCAAGCGAGGATTGCCAACGTGATAACGAAAATCGCGACGTCGAATTTTGCGTTTCACGCGAAAGATCGGCGGGAACCTTCGTGTGCCTTTTATCTCCGTTGAAACGAAACTCGCGAAAGACAATCTTCTGTTTCGAAGGCTGGTGCGCGTCGTCGTCATCGTCGTCGTT